TTTAGGCTTTGACATCAGAACAAATATGACAGCCATGGGTCTGCAGTGTTGCAGCTGTGCCACTTTCCCTTTCTTTAACACCCATGACTTCTTCAATCTCTCCCCAAAGGCTTCACCTCAAACCCACAGGACTCAATCACAGCACCCCTGTTGTTTATGAAGCTCACCACTGTCCACTGAATCAAATAACAAGCATGAAAACAGCTCTACACAGTAAAGAATGGAAAATACATAGATATCGGGCTATATGACAGCAAAGAAGTTACAAAAGTCACTTTCTTTCTATTTCAGCCACAGTTGCACAAGTGCCATGCTTTTCAGGCGCTGCAATTGGTGAAACACTTTAGAACAAACGTGAAAGCACTCCAAAGTATGTTCCAACGAACCCAACAGACAATCAACATTTAATGAATAGTATACAAAATATCTGTGTTGAGTTAGTGTAAAAGATAGGTGAAGATTGTTAAAAAAAGGAAGAATAAATGGTTCGGTCAAACAAACTGTATCCAAGCTGTTTTGCCTACACTGCATCTAGTATTCAACGTGCCACTGTGTTACATACATATAAAATATTTACTCTGGTATTGCAAAATATTAAATATTTAAGGACTTGGATCAGGATACTGCCAAAAAACATGATTAGCATTCCTAAAAAACACAGAACCTTGGCAACGGCTTACACACTTTCAGCTGAAAAAAAAAACTATTAATGAGAACTGAGACACTAACTTGGTAGAGAGTTTTTAAGGAGATTGTAAACAAAAATAAGTGTTTTTAAAATCCTTAATCCTGTTTAAATCATATCAAAACACTGTGTGGAAGGTGAAGACTACAGCAGAGTGAGATTAGTGTGTGTGCATGTGTGTGTGTGTGTGTGTGTGTGTGTGTGTGTGTGTGTGTGTGTGTGTGTGTGTGTGTGTGTGTGTGTGTGTGTGTGGACTTGTTGTATGAAAGATTTCCTTACTTAGTCGAGGATTATTCTGTAATAGCGAGTGTGCGCCCCTGAGAACTGCAGCTGAATACTTAATAGGTTTTTAAAATGTTTGAAGTATGGTAATGCAGAACCCTGCTGCCTAATGGAGTTCCACTTGTTTTCTTCACAATAACTTACCCTTTTGTTCTCAGTGGTAAACCATCAGTTTGACTGTGACAGCCCCGGTTAGCTAGAAACAGCCAACAGAGACAGACAGTCAGAATATAACAGCTTGTGGCTTCAAAAATGTAAACAATTTGAGCGTTTGCTGGACATAATGATGCATTTTGCATCCATGCAAGAATTAAGACCAACTTAGATCTAGTGCAGCGTGGGTTTACAGTGACTTCTTCAAAGGAACACGTTTTAATGATGGTCAAATGTCATGTCCGAAAGTTTCTGGAATATGTATTTACTTCTTTGTTGAAAACATTTCCCCAGTGATCTCTCCAATTGTGGGTGTCAGTTAAATGAAAAACCAATGCTTACTATGAGCCACTATCATGAAAGTCCAATAAATGTAACAATGTTACCAATGAAACAGATAAGATAGAAGAAGCATCGAGCAGGCACATTATTTCAGACAGGTAATCATATTCCCACGAATGAGATGACAGAAATGGTTTATCTGTGCTTTCCTACACTCGCATGCCTCAATGTGCTCATCCATTTCTCTAGTAAAGCCATGTTTGTGCCTTCTGCTACTGAGGACCTAATTAAATGCAGGCTGACTGAATTATATCCAATGTTTCAATGCTTTTAACCAGTCCTGCTTTTGGACATTCACAAATACACTGGGTGACAAACTGTAAACCCACTGAACTCTATATGGATCCTCTACACTGAGCCTATGCTTCCTTTTTTCCCCTGACTAATGAGCCTTGTCTTTTGCTCTTAAAAGACATTTTTTTATAAATGTTTGCTAGGTTTCCATGCCTTTTCTTGTGTTTGTTCCATTTACATAGATTGCATTGATTATAGCCTGAGGTTATTTACTCTCATATGGATACAAGTCTGCTATCAATCACTGCCTCAGTGCAAACATGATTTCCATAAAGAAGCACTCACGCCAACGGCTACTTTTAATAGTCACATTTTTTGTGGATGAGTTGAATTTAATTCTTCATTTTATCAGAGAAAAAGCTTTGCCACAGGATGCACTGTGTACATACAAAATCAGCATTGTTTCTCTCAGGAAATGTGTCGCTTTAAAAAAAGTGTATAGCTTTAAAACTCTCTCCATTTGTTTTCATTCAGAATATAAGGACCACAGAGAATGCAAAAGATTATTTGTGGTCAGGGACACTCAAAAAAATAAAGTTTTGTTGCAAGCTTTAGGCTATGGATCAATACAAAAGCCTAACCTACAGCACACAACAAACATATTAAATATTATTCCTTTTTGTTTTCACCCCCCAAGTAAAAACCTGTCCTTTACATGTGCAGTAGGATCTTTTCCATACTTGATTATAAAACAGAAATGCAGGGCCTGGATGCCATTATGTCCGCTGCCAGGTCACAAGGGTAATTTCAGGCCGTACAACCATCATGCCATGTCTCTGACACGCATATCTATTTTAGTTTCTAAAGACCTGCCTGTCGCCCTCCTGCTGTGCTAATACACTGTCTTCAACATTTCACTGGTTCTCATTCAAAATCAAACCCCTTGTCTCAATCAAATCACACATACATTGTGTTCATGCAGCAAAGCTGACATTACTACAGGCCATTTATGTATTACGGCCCCTAATCACGTTGCATATTATTAAAGATCACATGTATTATTAGTTGCAGTAGTGGAAGTAGGATTAGTGTTTCGGTATTGTGGTTGTCTTTTCAGGCTATTTTCAATATTATGTTTGTTTATTTTAATTTTTGTGCGCATATATTTAGTTTCTGCAGATAATAACTTACAGATGGTTAGCACCCTCCACTGAGTGCTGCTTCCCTATATGGACCTTGGTTTATGCTAATAACAAACTGCCTGGAATGTGCATCCAAATTATCATGAGACAAGATTCACCACCGATTGTACATGGGTACATTTTATTTTATTGGCTTTATGGATGAGACACAGGGTTCTCTCTTTCTCTGATTTAACGAAAGGTTTAAGTAAGGTTTATGTTCTATATATTGTTCTTATTTTGAACAAAGCCCAACACTGAAATCAGCCCATTAAATAGCACTGCCTCTGTAGCCAAACAAGCATAGACCTCCAATGTTGCCCAAAAACCGACGACTGTAAAAACACATCACCGAGCCTCGCTGTTGCACAAGCTGACATGTCCCATAATTATGATGAATATGTGCATAATAGTATATTTTGAGTCCATCCCACATAAACCTTCCTGCAATGTGTGGAAGCCAAGTGTGTATTTATCTGCAGCAACAACAACAATTCCACAAAAATACACCATGTAGTGAACCTCAAGCTTCAGTACCCAGCTAATGAAGGAAGTTAGTGAGAATTTAATGCTAAGATTGATTTTGTTTAATTCTTCACTAGGAACAATAGGGTTAGGGCTGAGTGCCATAGACAGAGAAGGGTGATTCGATGTAGTGATGTGCAAGAACATTTGTTGTTGTTTTTATCTTTCTAATTGGAACCCTGACAATGAAAAAATAGAATAATGGCCGCCTCATTTACTCCCTCAGAGTGGATATAGACAGCAATTTGGTAAATGGGCTGCATTTATACAGCACTTTACTCCATTTAACAGAGAGGACGGGCCATCATGAAACACATGCATTGAGACAATTAAGGTCTTTGATGTCTGATCAATCCCCTTCATGATAGGTTTTTCACACATATGCTCACACACAGTGTGGCAAGTTACTTCCAAAATGTAATACAGTACATATTACTTATTACTGTCTTTTTTAAGTTACATTACAATATTACTGTCTCTTGAAATGTAATGAGTTACACTACTTTTATATTACTTTTGAGTTACTTTACCAAAAATAACCGCAAAAGAATGGCTAGGTATTTTGAATGCTAACATGTAGTTTAGTGCAGCTCATTATACATCCAGTGAAGGGCGATGTGGTATAGCTTAACAACTGTGTAGGCCATTAAGGCTACTAACAACTTTTATTACACGGCTTAGTTGAATACTCGATTCTGATTGTAAATTCTTAAAATGTGACACGTTGTAATGCAGTACAGACCGCTGTCAAGGACTATAGTGAAGGTTGCTAAGGAGGATCAAAAAAGAGAAAGGAAAAGAGGTTAGAAGACGGAGCGCTGGACGTCAGATAAATCACCAGAAGAAGGCAGAGAGGAAGTAAACAATAACAGGAACACGGAATGGGCTCGGTAGTTTGTTTAGTATATGGCCGTGTAATAAGCGGGATAATGTGCAGCGAGGTGGTCATTATGGGGAAAGGAACACGGAGAGGCTGATCAGGTAACCGACGCGAAGCGGAGGGATCTTGATGAGCCTGAAGGGTAAACACCAGGTTTACTAATCTACATCTACCCGGTGTCGGAATGTCTCGCGATGTTAGTGAATTCTTAAAAAACAAAACACCATTTAATTTCGGGTTAAAATGTGTTGTAACTGAGAATTGTAACGGGTAGTATATTACCCAAATTTCATTAGTAATGCGTTACATTACTTCGTTACAGCAAAAAGTAATACAATACTGTAACTCCGCTACTTTTGTAGCACGTTACACCCAACACTGCTCACACACACTTAATTTAGAAATGAAGCCTCGTTTTTGTATTTTTATCCTGACTAGAGTAGTTATCAACATATTGGGCAAAGGAAAAAATGGCATGTCCTAAGCTTGGATGAGTGGATTAATGATTCAGGGGGGAACTTTTTCTTTTCAAAGATATCACTGATAAAAGCCAAGAAAAAGAAATTAGATATGGTTCTGTTTTAGAGGACTTCATTTAAAATGTCTACTGTAACATGCACATTGAGCTCGGAGATGCACTTTGTGCCAAATGCTGACAGAAGGGGGAAGATGGTGTCATTTGTGAATACGAGAAGAGATGCTCTTGCTCTTAACTCACCAAATGTTTTGGGGAGGTGAAGTGTCTGGAGGTCACCTTTCAGCGGAGTGCCTTTCGGTGTCCATGATTTCTACTGCGGGTGCAAGATTATCCTCCTCCGAGCGGGTCATGGTGTCTGGGAGGCAGACAGGGAGCAATGGGGCAGAGGGAGAAGGAGAGAAAAAGGCAAACAGTTTAAGAGGATGAGTCCAAATTAGGAAGTCTAACACCTAAAGCTCGCTATATTTTTTAGCTTTTCAAACGACAGGCAAGCTTCAACAGTTGGAAAAACACATCACGACACGTCATTAACGTTTCAGCCAAAAATGACTTCTCATTCTCTCCATGAAACATACATGTAGCCTTTTACAGTAGAGCCAAAGGTCATTAGTCAGCCACTAATTTGTATATCTTCTTGTGTGTCGCTGCCAAAAAAGCTCATATTGCTCTCAGTAATCTACCTTTCCATTTGCAGCAGTGTTCAATTATTTCTTTATGCAATATGTTTTAATCAAGGATCTACTTGGGTAGTGTAGCTTCCATTCCCCACTGGATAATATCTGTCAAAGGGAAGAATGGCATGTCTTCATGACTCGGGAAGTGTTCATGCCTTATATAGTCTTGGTCTAGTAGTTGCCTGCTGCACAGAACTGGATCTAGCCGGGGGCTAAGGAAGCAGACCTTATGAGAGCTCATTAAAGCAAGTCTTAGAAGACAAATATGAATGTACTATTTAAAACAAAAACATTTAGCCTCTTTTCAAAAATAATCAAAGCTAATGGAGCGGATCCAAGACTGAAAAGGCTATTATTAATAACGGAAGTCATTGCTGGGTTGGACGGGTAAATGTAAAGAGTGCCAGATTGGAGGGCGGTGAAGACAGGGAGTCAGTATTAATATCCAAACAATTCATTCCCCCTTACAGTTTTAGGAAACAAATGAGCACCCTGGTTTCCTTTTCGTGTTATACTTACAAATGATACCTCAAAGGTCAGTAGAGGAAGCATTTCTGTTGTAATGGGGAGTTAGATGACATTTCGGGGCAAGGACGATTCTCTTTGTAACACTGACATTTTCACTTGCTGCATAAAGATCAAACTAATTTAAATAAAAATCCACGACTGTTTTCTTGCTTTGTATAAAAAGGCATCCCAACAAGATGGAGTACTTCATCCTAATATGGACGACCTCGCTTACTTAGCCTATCTGCTCCACATTTAGCTGAGTCTGCAGGGGCGTTCTCGAGTGAGACATAAAGAGAACTGAACGAGACAATTACCATTTTCAAGTTTCTACTTTATATCTGAAAACGGGCTTGATCAGAGTCTCAATTTGCATGTAATACCCTGTGAATGAGGAGGCTCTTCCCACAATGGTATGAAATGGTAATTATCCTGATAGAGTGTGAATGTAGATGTACAAAAGCTCAGCAATTTGAAACTGAAATGTGTCATACAGTACATGCGAGGGCCCCTCCTTTAATGTAACAGATAAAAGGTCAAGTAATTATATAAGCTTTAGCGCTCAGTCTCACAGTGAATATTTCGGAAGAAGAACATCTTGCAAAGCTCTTTTTTCCGAATGCAACTGGGAGCTATATGAAAAGAAAATAGTGTTTAATCGGTAAACTTTGTTACATGTAATAATAATATAATAATTGTTACACCAGACACAAGGGCATGCACTCAGATTAAAAACATGTTCGGGTCTGGAGGCAACTATAGATGTACAGTTTGAGAAGAAGTGTGTGTTTTCAAATGTGTTACAATCTCGAGATTTTAACTTTTAAAAAGAAACGTATGACACACTGCAGAATTCATACTAAAATTACAGTTTTACAAGATCAAGGAAGATATTAACTTCTGTCTGTGTCAATTGAATACTTTAATGCATGGAGAAATATATGAGTTTCTTTGGTGTTCATGCAGCTAGGAATAAAATATTTCAGATTTTGCTTATCTTTCGTTATTTAAAGTACGCTAATTTCAAATCTTTTGTGTTTTCACCATATTCCACTTTACATCTTATACTCCAAAAACATTTATCAGTAAGCTACTGTTTGTGTGATGCAGTTGCATGGTCCAAAACCTATTAATGTTGTGATGCATGAATATCCCCTTTGTGAACACTTCTTTTATAATCAGGCCAAGTATAAACTTACAAATAGACAGTAAATCCCAGCACACATTTAGCTGCAGTAAAACTTGTTGGTGCAAGGTGAAAAGAACCACCTGGTGACTTCCTGTTTATTAAAGGAGGCAAAGTGGAGTCTACATCCTCCTCAGGCCAACATTGCACCACAGGGCCACAGTGGTACACAAAAGAAACCACTGAGGCAACAACTTCAACATGATAGGTTGGATTTTGAGGATTAAACACTTCAAATCTCATGACACTGACTCACAGTCACACTTCTCTCCTTCTCTTAAGTGCGGTCCCTTATCTCACCCAGCTATACTCCAATATAAATCTACTAGCAAAGCTCTTCACATTTATTGGCCGAAAATACATTGGTATCACCTCTCACTGACTGCTTATCCTGCCGGGCGGGTGCTACAAAGCGAGAACTACACAGCAAACCTGCCCTTGATTAATGTCTTTTACGACCTATCTTATTTGACTCAAACACCCAGTGTCGAGTTGATTTAGGACCTGCAAGTTCTGTTGGGCCACGATAAAAAGGGGGTTTTAACTTCTTTGAATGCTTATGCAAAAGGAGAAGAATGTTTTACCGAGTCTACTCCTGATATAAATTGTCAAGCATCATCTTAACCTTTAAGCAAATACTTCATTTGTTTCACCACGGTAACTGCTTGAAATGACTCAGTATCTAATCACCTGCTTGTAAGGACTTTGCAAGAGCCTCTGCTCTGTGCCACAAATGTTTTTTTTTAATTGAATTGATGGTGTGGAGGAGTATATGTTGTCTCCAGCAGTAAGTATGCATAAAGAATGCGAGAAGCACGACAGTTACTGTGTGTGTGTGTGTGTGTGTGTGTGTGTGTGTGTGTGTGTGTGTGTGTGTGTGTGTGTGTGTGTGTGTGTGTGTGTGTGTGTGTGTGTGTGAGTGAGAGTGAGAGGGAAAGTTAAGATAGACATACTAAAAAATAACGGAGACAAAAGGACGGAAAGTATGTGTTTCTTACGGTTGAACTGCAGCTGAGATTAAGCCAAGGTCATCCTCTTACTTATGACATACATGGAGCCAGACTGAGTCTCTCAGTTGGACGCTCTCCATCCGCTCCCACTGATAAGAGTGGCTACTTCATGTGCAGCGTGCAGACACCACGGCTCTGCTCTGTGCGGACCCAGAGTGATTAAAACCACATTTGGATTTGCTATAATCGCCGTGAAGAAAGACAGTTTTCTCACATACAGTGGGGCAAAAAAGTATTTAGTCAGCCACCAATTGTGCAAGTTCTCCCACTTAAAAAGATGAGAGAGGCCTGTAATTTTCATCCTAGGTATACCTCAACTATGAGAGACAAGATGAGAAAAAAAAATCCAGAAAATCACATTGTCTGATTTTTAAAGAATTTATTTGCAAATTATGGTGGAAAATAAGTATTTGGTCAATAACAAAAGTTAATCTCAATACTTTGTTATACACCCTTTGTTGGCAATGACAGAGGTCAAACGTTTTCTGTAAGTCTTCACAAGGTTTTCACACACTGTTGCTGGTATTTTGGCCCATTCCTCCATGCAGATTTCCTCTAGAGCAGTGATGTTTTGGGGCTGTCGCTGGGCAACACGGACTTTCAACTCCCTCCAAAGATTTTCTATGGGGTTGAGATCTGGAGACTGGCTAGGCCACTCCAGGACCTTGAAATGCTTCTNTTTCCTTTACACGGATCAGTCGTCCTGGTCCCTTTGCAGAAAAACAGCCCCAAAGCATGATGTTTCCACCCCCATGTTTCACAGTAGGTATGGTGTTCTTTGGATGCAACTCAGCATTCTTTCTCCTCCAAACACGTCTAGTTGAGTTACCAAAAAGTTATATTTTGGTTTCATCTGACCATATGACATTCTCCCAATCCTCTTCTGGATCATCTAAATGCTCTCTAGCAAACTTCAGACGGGCCTGGACATGTACTGGCTTAAGCAGGGGGACACGTCTGGCACTGCAGGATTTGAGTCCCTGGCGGCGTAGTGTGTTACTGATGGTAGCCTTTGTTACTTTGGTCCCAGCTCTCTGCAGGTCATTGACTAGGTCCCCCCGTGTGGTTCTGGGATTTTTGCTCACCGTTCTTGTGATCATTTTGACCCCACGGGGTGAGATCTTGCGTGGATTCCCAGATCGAGGGAGATTATCAGTGGTCTTGTATGTCTTCCATTTTCTAACAATTGCTCCCACAGTTGATTTCTTCACACCAAGCTGCTTACCTATTGCAGATTCAGTCTTCCCAGCCTGGTGCAGGTCTACAATTTTGTTTCTGGTGTCCTTTGACAGCTCTTTGGTCTTGGCCATAGTGGAGTTTGGAGTGTGACTGTTTGAGGTTGTGGACAGGTGTCTTTTATACTGATAACGAGTTCAAACAGTTAATACAGTTAACAAGTGGAGGACAGAGGAGGCTCTTAAAGAAGAAGTTACAGGTCTGTGAGAGCCAGAAATCTTGTTTGTTTGTAGGTGACCAAATACTTATTTTCCACCATAATTTGCAAATAGATTCTTTAAAAATCAGACAATGTGATGTTCTGGATTTGTTTTTCTCATTTTGTCTCTCATAGTTGAGGTATACCTAGGATAACAATTACAGGCCTCTCTCATCTTTTTAAGTGGGAGAACTTGCACAATTGGTGGCTGACTAAATACTTTTTTGCCCCACTGTACATGCGTTCTCTGAAGACAAGAGCTTCAACATGTAATTTGGAAGCCATCTTAGACTACATCTGCCTAGGGACATGACTGCAACAAAAACACTTGTTTAAGATTTCTCGGTGCTTTCGTAAATATGTAAGCAGTTTATGCACTGGAAAGCAGAGGAAGCACATTTCAGTCACACCTACTGCTCAGTGGAGAATTATTGTGCTAATGGACCTTTCCAGACACAAAGGTGGACGGGGATATTCTGTTAATTGGTTTATGCATGACAGCCGGGAAACTCAACTGCAGGCTATCAAAGAGGCCTGAAACGA